GATACGAAAATATGATTGATCATCGCAGTTATACACACAACTTGTGAAATTAAAGCCTGGAAAAAAACATAAGGCTTGAACGGGATTCGAACCCATGACCTCTGTAATACCGGTGTAGTGCTCTAACAACTGAGCTATCAAGCCAGCTGGGAGCTGGTCACATTGTGAGTTCATAATATACCCACAGTAGATGGTGAAGATACAAGTAAATATATGAAAGATCATATATTTAAACTGCGGAGAAAGATATGAAGACACGATTGATCATCGCCGTTATATACATGTACAAGGCTTAAGCAGCTGTGAAATTAAAGCTTGAAAAAAATTCAGGACGACGTTTTAATTCCACATCTACTTAAGCTGTGTTTGTAACTGTGATGATCAATCCTGTCTTCAGAGAGTTCAAACTTTTGGTCTCTTCAGCCCTCAGCTGGTTTGACAGCGCGCTGTTGATGTTTGATGACATTCGAAGAAACTCTTGTCAAAATCTCAGAAGAAAATACAAATATGAAAAAAGGATAAAATACGACTCACATGTCTGGGAAAGGAATCTGTCGGTTCAGTGGTGGAGCATTCGGATTATGTTCCTGTTTCTTTTTGCCTGCAACAAAGAAAACATACACGCATGCGTCACTTAACATATAAAATGAACCAGGTTACCATAAGGTACAGCAGCATCCGAGGCTGACGGCATTTCCAAGGGAAATTCTTACATAACAATGAGTGGAACCCTGGGGCCCGTTTCTCGAAGGTCCCGAAAAGCCGTAGCAAAATCTCCAACCATGTGATTTTATTCACATATTCTTAATATGAGCAGAGGTTCTCTTCATACAAGAAGTTTCAGGCGTATACACCTCTCTGTCTTTAAATACCGATTGACTAACAATGGTTTTGCGGGCCTGAAAAGTTTCCTGGGCTTTCGAGAAACGGGCTCCCGGTTAGACCAGGTTAGACATTTCGTAACATTTTGTATAAAGGTAACAACGGACGAGACCAGGTTAGCTTGTAGTTAGTTCCACCCCAGTTTACTTGCGGTTAGCTGTCATTTTGTGGTTTTGAGCGACACTGTATTACAGTGTACATAAAATTTTGCTTGTAGTATGTACAGTGTACAGTGAAAAAATTCGGCTTTTGGCAGCCAGCCGATATTGTAGTGTATCCTGAATCAAACTTCCTGGGTTGAATTATAAACACTAAGTGTCCAGTAACCTTCATGTAAAAATATTAAGTAAATGAGAAAAAAGGTTCCCTTCATTGTTAACTAAGGTCATCGGTTTCCGACGGTTGTCGTGTGCAAATTTGCCCTTTACCCGTTTCTCGCTCAAGTTAGCCGCTCGTTTTAGCGCGAGACGTCATACATGGACACGATGAAGGACGCCAGTTATACAAAAAACCTCAAAATTCTATCCTCCACGGGAAAAACTGTCAGCCACGACACATGCATGGAATATCAACTAAGGCAAAGAAAATGCTACAAATTAATTTACATTTTTCTGGTACCCACATTTGCGCTAGCCAATCAGCAGTTCTGTTTCTCCTGATTTCTTGCAATATCAAGTATTTCAACAGAGTTTTGGCCAACCTTAGCTACGGCAAATACCCGATGGTACCTTTTTGGTACGTTTCGGGCGCAAATCATGAGTATTTTGGCTCCTTGAAGAACCTCGCGTGATATACCGCCAGAACGTATCAAATAAATACAAGTAGGATTCGATGAAAACATTCACACAATTCCACTGCTCGAGAAAAAAATGTTGTTAGTAGAATATACAGAAATTTGAACAAGGTTTTGTGTTTGAAATGGTAATGCTTGTTTTTTACCTGGTCCATTGGAATCTTTTTTTACTTTCTTTTTCTAAAAGAGNAGGTTCTCTTCATGCAAGAAGTTTCAGGCGTATACAGCTCTCTGTCTTTGAAAACCAATTGACTAAAAATGGCTTTGCGGGCCTGAAAAGTTTCCGGGGCTTTCGAGAAACGAGCTCCAGGTTAGACCAGGTTGATTTCCCGCCAGAATGTATCAAATAAATACAAGTAGAATATAAAACTTTAACGTAAAAAGCTGTTAAAATTATAAGTCTAAATGTTTTCGATCTGTTTGATCATCATCAGAGTGGTTATTTTGGCCCCTTGAAGAACACTCTGATGATGATCAAACAGATCGAAAACGTTTAGACTCATAATTTTAACTTTTATCGGCAAAATGTAAATAAACACAAGTAGGATTCGATGTAAACATTCACACAATTCCACTGCTCGAGAAAAAAATACTGTTGGTAGAATCTAAAGAAATTTGAACAAGATCTTGTATTTGAAATGGTAATGCTTGTTTTTTACCTGGTCCATTGGAATCTTTTTTTACTTTCTTTTTCTAAAAGAGAAAAAACGTTTAATACTATTTTTATGCATATTACACAACCAGTAATCTGTGGCACAGAAAATGGCAGTTAAGAGTGCATCACGTGGTATGCATGTTTAAACAACGTGATCTGACAAGGTTGATCACGTGATACACCCGATTGTACCACGTGATTGAGTTTTAGATTCATGGCGTTGCCGTTCTGTTTACAAAGAAAGCAACTTACAGTTTTAACCCTTTCACGCCAAAGAACAGTTTCCCCAAACTAAAACCATACACTTCTTTGTTGGTTAGTCCAGAGAAGTTCATTATATGACAAGACCGCATCACTTAGTTGACAATTTTCCCAATTCTCATTACCTGTCTGCT